TCACAAAAAAAAAAAGAGGCTCAATATTGTAAGCTAATACATTTGAAAACCTAAACGAAAGGGTTAAGTTTCTGGAAAAATTAAACTGTGCTCAAAGTGATGCAAAAAGAAATTGAAAACTTGAATATAACAAGTTTTAAGAAAAATTGAAGTGATAGTCAAAGACATCCCATCTCATTGTAACAGAAAGCTTCAGGCCCAGACCCAGATGGTTTTGCAGATGTAGCTATATCAAACTTTCAAGGAATTGTTAATTCCCAAATATACAAATTGTTCCAGAAAATAGGAAAAGAGCAAAAGCTGTCCAGCTCATTTTTTGAGGCTAGTATAGTCTTGATTCTAAAACCAGAAAAGGAAGATACAAAACAATAAATTTATAGACCCATTTCACTTAATAATACAGATGCGAAAATTCTAATAACATATTAGCTACCTGAATTCAACAGTGTATTTTGTTTTTTGAGGAAGATTGCCCTGAGGTAACATCTGCTGCCAATCTTCCTCTTGCTCTTTTTTCTCCCCAAAGCCCCGGTACATAGTTGTATATCCTAGTTATAGGTCCTTCTAGTTCTTCTATGTGGGATGTCGCCTCAGCATGGCTTGAGGAACGGTAAGTAGGTCTGTGCCCAGGATCCGAACTGGCGAACCCTGGGCCACCAAAGCAGAGCATGCAAACTTAACCACTATGCCACCAGGCCAGCCCCAACAGTGTATTTTTTTAAAATCACAAGTAAGGTTTATCTCAGGAATGCAAACATGATCCAAATTAGAAAATGAATGAATTACCACATTAATAAAGGGAAAAATCATGATAATCTCAAAGCAGAAAAAAAATATTGATAAGGTTCAGTACCTGTTTATGATATTTAAAAAAAGAAACTATTAGCAACCAAAATAAGAGTAGAAGAGAACTTCCTTAACTTGATAAAGATTATGTGCAAAAACTTGCAGCAAAAATGCCTAATAGAGAAATTTTACATGCATTTTCCTTTTAAGATTAGGAACAAGGCAAGGATGTTCGCTCTCAATACTACTGTTTAATATACAACTGCCAATGTTTTAAGAAAAGAAAAAGAAATGAGGTATAAGTTTTGGAAGGAATTGATAAAGCCCATTTGCAAATGATATGATGGACTACCTTAAAGAACCAACAGAATGACCAGAGAAACTGTTAGGACTAATAAGAGAGTTCAGCAAGGTTTCCATATCAACCTATAAAAATCAAAAGCATTTCTCTATATTAGCAATAACCAACAAGAAAAGTATCTCAGGGGGCCGGCCCCGTGGCTTAGTGGTTAAGTGCGCACGCTCCACTGCTGGCGGCCCAGTTTCGGATCCCGGGTGCGCACCTACGCACCGCTTCTCTGGCCATGCTGAGGCCGCATCCCACATACAGTGACTAGAAGGATGTGCAGCTATGACATACAACTATCTACTGGGGCTTTGGGGGGAAAAAATAAATAAATAAAATCTTTAAAAAAAAAAAGAAAAGTATCTCAGAAAGAATTTAATCAATACAAAAGACCTCTATAAGAAAAAATTTAAACTCTAATAACAAATAGATGATCTGAATAAAAGGAGAAACATTTCATTCTCTTTGCTGGGAAGATTGGCTTAAAACAATAAACATTTATTATCTCACACGGTTTCAGAGGGTCAGAATTCCGGGAATGGCTTAGCTGGCTGGTTCTGGCTCAGAGTCTGCCATGAAGTTGCAGTCAGGATGTGGATGGTCTGCAGTTATTTGAAGGCTTGACTCCACTTCCAAGAAGGCCCACTCACATAGCTGTTGGCAGGAGGCCTCAGTTCCTCCATAGGGCTGATCATGACATACCAGCTACCGACCCACAAAGAGAACTATCTGTGTGAAGAGAGAGGGAAGCCAAAGCGCTCTTTATGACCTAGTCTTGGAAGTTACATGCTCATTCTGTGCATTACAAGTGAGTCAGTAAGTCCAGCCCACATTCAAGGTCAAGGGAATTAGGCTCCAACTCTCAAAGCAAGCAGTATCAAAGAGTTTGCGGACATATCTTAAAACCTCCACAGGTAATGTTATTTCTCTCCAAATCTATTAATTCAATGCAATCCCAACAAAACTTCCATTACTTTTTCTAGAATTACAATAAACTTACATTACAATTTGGAATAATAAAGGATTATGGATAGCTAAGATAACCTTCAAAAAGAAGTTATGATGGGAACTTGCCCCGCTAGATATTAAGACATACTAAAGGCCTTAGTAATTAAAGGAAAAAAACTGATATTGGCCTAAGTAGACCAATGGAACAGAAAAAAGGGCTCAGAGACAGAGCCATGTATCTATGGAACTTAATATATGATATAAGTGGTACTACATACACAAAAAGATGGGACAGATTGTTTAGAAGATGGTGATGGGATGTCTGGCTCATGATATGGAGAAAAATAAAACCAGATCCCTATCTCACACCACATACAAGGATGGACTCTAGATGGATTAAAACCTAAATGTGAGAGCAAAACTATAAAGTTAACAGAAGAAAATATAGAACATCTTTGTGACCTGGGAAGAGAAGGATTTCTTTAAAAGCAGACCACAAGGGGGAAAATTGATTATATCAAAATTAAGGATCTTTATTCAACTAGGATACTACTTACAGTTAATAACACAAATGTCAGAGTGGGAGAGGCTATCTGCAATTTCCAACACCCAAGGCATTTGTAATCAGACTATGTGAGGGACCCCCGAAAATCAACAAGAAGAGGAATATGGGAATTGACCTAATAGAATATGAATATGAACAAGCAATTTACATGAGGAAACCCACAACTGAACAAGCAAATGAAGAGTACTCAGAATCATTATCCATCATTTAAAATACAAATTTAAAAACTAATGAAATATGACTACATCTGTTAGACTGGAAAATTTTTGAAAGTTAGATAATGCTCAGTGTTGGCAGAGACAGGGGAACGTGGGTACCTTCATACATCACTCCAGTCACTTCAGATAACAATCTGGCCCTGCTTACAGAAATTAAGTGTGTACATCCCCTATGACCCAGCAATTTTTCTCTGAGTATACATCCTAAAGAATTTTCACACTGGCCCATAAGGGAGCATTTACAAGGCATTATTTATTGAAATGAGGTTGGAGGCAGCCCAAGTGTCCCTTGGTGGGAGTGCCTAGGGGTAAAATGATGCAGTGGATGCACACATTGGAGTTTATTGCAACCATTAGAAGCAACAGACAGACTAGATGTACCTGTAACAACACAGATGGATCTTAAAAACATAATACTGGATGGAAAAACAAGGAAAAAACCGAATGACACTACCATTTACTTTAATTAAAAGCATAGACAAAAATGCAGATTTTATATGAAATCACACAAAAAGATCACATTAAATCCAATAAAATGGTTAACTGTGGGAGAAAGAGAATGATGGTTAAGTGCAAGAATAAAAGAGAATGAATAAAATGAGGGGCTTTGCATGGAACAACAATGACAATATGTCATGAACTGTGAAATATGATCAGAGCTCAGACACTCTAAGAGGCAAACAAGTACCACTTTTTTGCATGAGGGCTCAGATTCTCTGAGGGCTACCTAAGACCAGTATGTATGTGGACAGTGTGAAATCTGTTCACGTCCATCCTGGGCATAGGAGGTCTGGATATATCAAAAGCCACACAAGTCCATTTTGTGCATGATAGCATACTGTACTCCGCAAGTTAACAAATTTAGTCTGTGTTTGGCGGGGGGAGGGGGGATGCTGACCCTTAGAAGGCTGAACAAGTCCGTTCTATGGATAAGAAATTTAGAGTCTCTGAGGACAAACCAACCCATTCTTCCTTGATGGGGAGCTCAGAAATGAAAAGTCTGTCAAATCCATTCATTGTAAAGGTAGCTCTGAAACTCTGAAAGCTGGACAAAATCAAACTGTGGACAGTGGGTTTGGACACTCCTTGCTTTGGATAAGTCCATTGTGTACTGTGCAAGTCCTTTCTGTGGATCAAGGCCTCAGCAACTCTGAGTGACAGCAAAAATTGTTCTGTGGATTTGGATTTACTCCCTCTGAAGATTGGGGCATCCTGTTTTGTAAAAGTCACCTCAGGCAGTCTACTGGCGGGGAAATCAAGAGACTGGCTTCAGCAGGCTGTCAGATAAAGATGAGGGCTGAAGTCAGAAACGAGAAGGAAATGACACCAGGGAAAAGAGTCCATGACAGGCAGCTAGATGTTGGGCAGAGAAGAAAAGGTAGGGGTCAGGATCAGACACTAAGAAAACATAGGGTCTGATGTTAAGGACTCTGAGGGGTGATGACATCAGCGACAGTGGGGGATAAAACATCGGACCCTCGAGCGATATGACGTTAGAGGGCTAGAAGGTGAAGGAGGTTAACAGAGGACTGTAATTATGTTGTCAGGGACCTAGAGGAAGACGACTGAGATAGTGAGGAAGCCATCAGAACCAATGGGAGAAATGACGTCAAGAATCGTGAGGGTGGGGGCCCGGCCCATGGCGCAGCGGTTAAGTGCGCTTGCTCCGCTTGGGCGGGGTTCGAAGGTTTGGATCCCAGGCGAGAGACACGCTGCTTTGTCAAGCCACGCTGTGGCGGCATCCCACATAAAGTAGAGGAAGATGGGCACGGATGTTAGCCCAGGGCTGATCTTGCTCAGCAAAAAAGAGAAAGATTGGCATCAGATGTTAACTCAGGGATGATTTTCCTGACACACACACACACACAAAAAAAGAATTGTGAGGGTGGTGTCAGGGACAGAAAGGAGTGTGAGAGCAAAAAGGCTTGTGCACAGAAGGGATGAAGACAGCTGGAGGCCAGTGGAAGGATGCTAACGTCACGGTGCACCAACCACACAGAACGAGCCTCCCTTCCCGGAAACCTGCTGAGCGCTTTGCTGCCTTTGCTCTGCCGTTCCTTCCCCCCCTCGCTGGCCTCAGCCAATGAGCACGCACGCCCGCGCGCGCGGGGGGGACGTCCCGTGACGTGTCCGCTACGTGCGCTTTATCAAGCGCCTTCCCGCGCGGCAGCCTCCCCAGTCTGTCTGCTCCTCGGCGGTAGCTGTCCTTTTGGCCCTTTTACGCATTAATTTCCAGGTAAGCAGCGTTTGTCTTGCGGAGCGGCCGCTCCCCGCCTCACTGATGTGCCGCGTGCCTGCCGAGAGCGAGATGCGCGAGTGGGGAGAGTAGCGGCTTCTGACACGTAGGCTTGGGCGATCTGGGGCGGGCGGTTCCCGTGCTCGGAGGTGAAATTTTGCGGCTGGTGGGAGGCTGGCGCGCTATCTCCGAGTGCGAGGAATGCCGGGAGGGGCTGGCGGCGTGGGTGGCGGCAGTGACCACGCGACAGCCAACACCTGCGGGCCCCCTTTTTTCCCACGTGACCGCCGCCATCTTGTTCTGCGGGCGCAGAAGGAACGCAAGGGTGTTCCGGGCCTGCGCGGCGGCACAAAATGACGGGCGTGGCGGCAGGGGGTGTTGTGGGCATGCGCAAAGGCGGCCCCCAAATGGCTGCCTCACTGAGCTGACCCCGCGGATTCCCGCCCTTTCGGCTTGCGTTGTCAGTCTCTTTAGTTACTCCTTATTTTGTTCCTCGGGTCTATTTTCTGTTTTCTCTATCTTTTCTCACTCCTCTAGCCTCTTCTCCTTCCTCCCACCTCCACTCTTTCTCCCACCCTTCTCCGTGCTCTCACCGCAGGACTCGAATTCACTGCCATGTCCTCTGAAGAGGGGAAGCTCTTCGTGGGAGGGCTCAACTTCAACACCGATGAGCAGGCTCTGGAAGACCACTTCAGCAGCTTTGGGCCTATTTCTGAGGGTGAGGTGTGGGCCAGAGCCGTGATGAGGGGGGTGTGAGAGGAAGTCTGGGACCCTTGCATTTCAAGCAGCATTGAGAGAAAGGCCAGGGTCCTAGGCCTTTACATACTTCTTTCCTTTTTCTGTTTCTAGGCCTAAGCTGTAGGTTTAGGCGAAACCCGGTAACTTTCAGTTGGAGGCTTGGTGGGAGGGGTCCATTCTCTGTACCTGACATCCCTGGCCACTTTTCCTCTTACCCGTCTCTCTCCCTTCCTCAGTGGTCGTTGTCAAGGACCGGGAGACTCAGCGATCCCGGGGTTTTGGCTTCATCACCTTCACCAATCCAGAGCATGCCTCAGATGCCATGAGAGCCATGAATGGAGAGGTGAGGCCTCCTACCTACATAGGGGCTCTGTCCCCATCTGCCACTTCTGCCATTCTTTCTGTTTTTCCCTCTGTGTCTGCTAGGGGCAGCGCGGCCACCAAGCCCCGCAGTGCCCACTCACAGGAGCGTGACTGCCTTCTGTTCTAGGGGGTGGAGGGCAGCGGCAGACAGAGCCGGGCTGCTTGGGAGGCGACGACTGGTCCTGCATGAGGCCGAGAAGCCACCTGTGGATGGTTGACCTGCCCTGGGCTTAGGTAGTAGAGTCTGCAGACCTGCGGGCCTGGCCCGGAGAGGACCTCGTGAGTCTTCTGGGATGGACTCTGAAGCCTCAAACCAAGAGAGGTGTCTAGCCCTAATAGTTGGGCAGCTTAGAGGAGTGGGGAGGAGAACTCAGCCTGAGTTCAGTAAAGATGTAAGTAGTAGCAGGGGGAATACGGTGGATTCAGGTCATTTTGTGGGATTCTCTAGCTCCCCATAAAGCCATTCTGGTCAAAGGAGCTTGTTCTGGAACATGGCACCCAGAACCTGGTGCCCAGCAGGAGTTTCTGGGCTCTTTTGCCCACCTGCCCTGCCCACTCTTCCCTCACCACTGCTCTGTCTGACCACCAACCCATCCTCCTTGTGTCTCCCACACCTAGTCCCTGGATGGTCGCCAGATCCGTGTGGACCATGCAGGCAAGTCGGCCCGCGGAACCAGAGGGGGTGCCTTTGGGGCCCATGGGCGTGGTCGCGGCTACTCCAGAGGTAAGTGCAGTGGTAAGTTTGATCATGGAGTATGGGGAGAGCCACCTGTTAGTGGTTTATGTCTGGACAACTGCCATTAAATATTTCTTATCTGCTGTAGGTGGTGGGGACCAGGGCTATGGGAGTGGCAGATATGACAGTCGACCTGGAGGATATGGCTATGGCTATGGAAGGTCCCGAGACTATGGTGGCAGGTGGGTAGCCAAGTGGTTGAGATGCTCTGGTGGTGCTGCTTCTGTCTCCTTAAAAGCTTGGTTGTCTGAGTGTTCACATATGTTTTAATTTGGTGTTACTAGTGTTTGCTGTTAGGAATAAAACTTCTGATGAAACTAAAACAAGTATGAAACTTAATATTTTGAGTTACGTATAAATCATTAATGAATTGTGAGATTGTATAATTACAATGTATGGTAGTTGATACATAATGTATGTGTTTTTTGTACCGTGTTGGTTAATTGTGTCTACATTGTATTAATGTTTAACATGATTTAGTGTTACATGTGTAAGTCATATACCATGTAATTATGTGATTTCTACACAACATTCATGTGCTTAATATGTCCTGTTTTACACATTAAAGTTTATATTATGGTACATATAAAATATGATAGGATATGTAAATATCTGTGGGTTTTAATATTGTCAAGGAGTATGTGATACATTCCTGTAACACTACCCTGTATGTTTTTTCCCAGAAACCAGGGTGGTTATGACCGCTACTCAGGAGGAAATTACAGAGACAATTACGACAACTGAGATGAGGCATGCACACCTAATTGTAGGTGAGACTTGTATGTGACAACTGAGCAGACCTCTATCCACCAGCCCTGCCGTGTTCTCTCATTTCCTCCTACCTGCACATACCTCACCTGGCCCACCTGACATCATTCCTAGGCCTCCCTTTCGGGTGCCTGTCAGGGCTAGTATGCTTGCAGGGGTGGGTGGAGGTCTGACAACCTATCTCCCCTGTAATCTACTTTTGCTGGGCGTGGAGGAGATGAAGGGGGGTATTCCTATTGTCCAGCCCTCAGTATCTATCAACCGTGGGAGGTGAGCATGTTAGCCTGTTCCTTCCCAATATCACAATTCTCCTCCTTTTTACTGTTCTCAGATACCCAAGGAATAAAACTTCTGATCCAGGATCGTCCTTCCAAATGGCTGTATTTATAAAAATTTTTGGAGCTGCACTGAAACAGCTGTTATAGTACATCAACTTCTGTTTTTGAATTGAGCTCCCAAGGTGGCTTGTTAAAGACCTTTTAGAAAGCTCCATGTGTTTTTTACAATTTTTCTCCCATTTAAAGACAAATTCTGGAATATTTGTAGAATCTGGATGTTTTTCCTTTTACCGGTTTTTTAGTTTTGGGCTCTCAGGATTATTGTTCTGGCAAAAAATGTTTGGCCAGACTGATTTTTAAAAAAAATAATAATGTGCGTTTAGGGACATTTTAAAAACCTGTACACAATGTTTATCATGGTTAGGAAGCAATTTCTGAATGTAACTATAAGAGATGAACATGATACTTAGATGTGTTTTTTACTCAAGATCACTGCCCTGATTATATAGAAGTTTCTTAAAACTATTTGTGAATGTCATTTTTTTTTAATACTGGAAGAAAAAAAGATTCTGTTGTGTCTCATGTAGTGTTTAGGACGTCATCACGGAGATGATTAAAAAATTGAAACCTGAAAACAAATTGATATTGATAGTGCTTATTGCTTACTCAACCCAGTTTGCAAATTAAAAATACAGGGAGATCAGGAGGGAGGCTTTGAGGAAAGAATTTAGTTAGAGGAGTGGGCAGGAATTGCTAAAAGGGTTAGAGACATTGAGTTCAAAGTTTGGTTGAGTTTGGGATTGGTTTGGGTATACATGAGTCCTGAGGGAGGCATGGGTACGGGTGAAATCTTCTTATGGCTGGAGTTGGGTTTCCTGAGATGGTCTTCTGATCCCATTGTCTTGATCAGTGTCAGCTTGGGAATCAGACTGCTTGGGTTTGAATCTCCTAGCTTCTCTGAGCATCAGGTGGGTACCCTTCTCACAGGATTGTTCATCTGGCAGGAGCTATACCCTGCCGTAAAGAGTGGTTCCAGGGGGCTGGCCCTGTGGCTTAGTGGTTAAGTGCGTGCATTCAGCTACTGGTGGCCCAGGTTCGGATCCCGGCTGCGCACCGATGCACTGCTTGTCTAGCCATGCTGGGGCAGCGTCCCACATAAAGCAACTAGCAGGATGTGCAAGTACAACATACAACTATCTCCTCGGGCTTTGGGGAGAAAAAGGGGAAAAAAAAAAGGATTGCCAATAGATGTTAGCTCAGGGCTGATCTTCCCCACCAAAAAAAAAAAAAGTGGTTCCAGTTCCTTCCCCTGAAATGATGGGGGTGGAGGAGGTCTACTAAACTCACCTTGGTGTGATGGACATGTGAGAAGCCTGGTTAGAAAACAGTTCTAAGAGCTTGGATTCTGTTGAGATTCAAATCAGGCTCTGTTGCTTCCCAGCTGTTTGACCTTGGGTGAGTCATTTAACTTGTGTGCCTCAGCCTCATGGGCATTTTTTCATTTTCTGTTGAGGATTAAATGCGTTTAACAGGTGTATACAGCCATTGAGAACAGTTGGCAAATCCCTAAGTCACAGGGATTCAGTCTTCAGTGGTAAGGTGGTAGCGATGGCCTGGCATGGTTTTTTATAATTTTATTTATTTTTTTCCCCCAAAGCCCCAGCAGATAGCTGTATGTCATAGCTGCACCTCCCTCTAGTTGCTGCATGTGGGACGCAGCCTCAGCGTGGCCGGAGAAGCCGTGCATCCGTGCGCGCCCAGGATCGAACCTGGGCTGCCAGCAGCGGAGCGCGCGAACTTAACCGCTAAGCCACGGTGGCCTGGCCTGGTTTTGAACCTCCAGCTGATCTTAGTTCCTCAGTTCTACTCCCTCTAGCCGTGGTTCTGGTGGCTGCATTGGAGTCCCATGAGCTTTATTCTTTCATTTGGAGTTTCTAATCAGTTGTGTCCGTGGCTTCACCTGGCTGATGTGGACCAAGTACCACCCGATTACAAGTTCCAGGACATCCTCAACTGCCGTATTTCCCTCGTTCATGGGGCATATGTTAATGGACTGATTGTGTTCCCTCAGTTCATATGTTGAAACCCTCCCCTCCCCAATATGATGGTATTAGAAAGTGACACCTTTGGGAAGTGATTAAGGATTAGATGAGGTCCTGAGGGTGGGGCCCTCATGATGGAATTAGTACCCTTGTAAGCTTGCTTCCTCTTTCTGTGCTTCACCATGTGAGGATACAGCAAGAAGTTGGCAGTCTGAGTCACAGTTTTGGCAGCCTGCCTCCTGGGTCTCCTAGCTAGTTGGGACACGTCCCAAGGACCCTTTCTCCCACCTGAACAGTCATGAATTTGCTTTGGCATGTGGATGTTGCTCCCACCAATGGGAGCTAGCTTCAGGGAGCTAGCTAAGGTAGTGGGAGCTGGCAGGAACATCGTTACTGCTTTGTAGGTGGGTGAGGGGGGGCACCTCTGTTCCCTGCCTCTCAGGAAGTAAGATGTACTTCTCATCCCCAATGTGGTCTGAGACGGGATCCCATAGTAACCACAAAGTTCCTGCAACAAAATGTTGCCCTAAGTGACGTCAGTAAAGACCATAAATAGCCTAGATCTGAATAACAACTTGATCAACCTGCTCTGCTCTCAATTTCAAAAGGTGCTTTGTGGTAATCCAGCCCAGAGAGGTCCAGTGTCTTGCTGTTTATTTGCTCTAAGGAAAGGGGCCTAGAGGACTCAGGGTAGGTTTTTCTTTTGCAGTACAATGGTTGAGCAGGAAAATTTCCAGACGTGAGATTCAAAGCCCCTTTTAAAATGTTTATTCTCTGCTTCAGTTTGACCAGAATCTAATGTGCGTTTCCCAAGAACCCACTGAGCCCAGGAACTCCCAAATATTGAAGGGTGCTTTGAGAACCTGTGAAGAGCAGACCCTTGGCCTGCAAATACTTGTGACACCCCCATACCCCATCCATTTTAAGGTCCAGAATAAATCCTAAGCCCTGCCCCTCCCATCCCCTGTGGAGCGAAATCAGTGTGTTGAGACCCTGCTTCCTAGCTTAATTTCTCTGCCTCAGGTTCAACACGTGTAAAATGGGAATAATAGTACCCATCTCACAGAGGAGTTAAGGGTCAAGTGGGACATGTTTTGAATAGGGCAAGTTCCTGATACTATTCCTACACACTTGCCCTATGTTCTGAATTTGGGGATGTAGAAAACTTTATTTCAAAAAGCTTTTAAAAATAAGTTGCCGTAGGGCCGGCCCCGTGGCCTACTGCTGCTGGCGGCCCGGGTTCGGATCCTGGGCACGCACTGACGCACTGCTTCTCTGGCCATGCTGGGGCCGCGTCCACGTGCAGCAACTAGAAGGATGTACAGCTATGACACAACTATCTACTGGGGCTTTGGGGGGAAAATAAATAAATAAAAAATCTTAAAAAAAAAATAAGTTGCTGTGGGCGCTGGCCCTGTGGGCTTTAGTGGTTAAGTTCGATGTGATCCGCTTTGGAGGCCTGGGTTTGGTTCCCGGGTGCAGGCCTACACCACTTGTTGGTGGCCATGCTGTGGCAGTGACCCACATACGAGATAGAGGAAGATTGGCACAGATGTTAGCTCAAGGCAAATCTTCCTCAAGCAAAAAGAGGAAGATAGGCAACAGATGTTAGCTCAGGGCAAATCTTCCTCAGCTGAAAAGAAAATAAGTTGCTGTGAATATTTCGGTATGTAAAGAAGCATGTTGGATAACGATCAGTAGCCAGTGTTCCTACCACTCTTCTGCTTATCAAGATAAAACATGCCCTAGTCCCTGCCCAGCTGCATTCCGTTTCCACCCCCTAACCTTCCCTAGACTAATATAAGGGCCACAATCCCTTACAGTTCAGAGTGCACAAAGACCTGAAAAACCAGAAGTGAGTTTTTTCAAATTTGATGACAAAATCTGACCTGAAGCTTTTCGTTATCTTTATTTTTTCCACTTAGCATGAATATGCATACAATATACTGCAGGAAGTTTAGTCTTGGGTTATGGAGAGCTGCCCTAGATCCTACCAGGTGTGGGTTTTAATTTACAGTGAATGCACAGAGACAGTTAAGGCTTCTAAATTGTTAAAAACAATCAGTGGGTTTATTCTGCATAAACACTTCTAATATGCTGTCAAGTCGCATTTTTTAACTCAATCGTATGCTTCCTTTAAGTAAAACTAATCTGTGGAAGTTTTCTGTTTTTTTTTTGTGTGTGAGAAAGATGGGCCCTGAGCTCACATCTGTTGCCAATCTTCCTCTTTTTGCTGAGGAAGATTGGCCCTGAGCTAACATCTGTGCCCATCTTCCTCTATTGTGTATGTGGGATGCCGCCACAGCATGGCTTGATGAGTGGTGTGTAGGTCCACGCCTGGGATCTGAGCCTGTGAACCCCGGGGCTGCTGAAGCAGAGCACGTGAACTTAACCACTACACCACCAGCTGGCCCCCATGGAATTTTTCTTTTCTTGTTCTTAATAGTTGTCTGAGCACAGAATTTGCAGTTCCTGCTTTAAACTTTATGACTACAATCCATAGTAAGAAGTACGATTTTCTTCATTGGGGTCCAGTCCACCATTTGTTTATGTAAGTGGAAGAAAGCTTTAATGAATGAAGTGTGCAGAGTGCCCTGATGTTACCTAGTTTATTGGGTTATAACAAAGACAGCTGGCGCTAAACCACTCAAATGCTCATGGAGCCTGCAGTTTGAAACATGCTGTGTGTTTATGATTGTTGAATCTGGGTGAGAGATACATGAAAGTTTATATCAATACTATTGTAAATTTGAGATTTTCTATAAAAAGTTAAAAAGAAAACTGTTAGGGATGTGGTTTGTTGGATCTCCACATTGGTGTGGGAGCTGGGTAGCTGTCAGGTGTTTTCGCTGGCCTTCCCTGTTCCCCAAAGCCCTCTCCATAGTCGCAGACATTTCTTCTTCAAGGGCTTCAAGAAACCCTGTTTTATAAAGGCCGGCTTCTGTTTCTTGACATCTGACATTCCTTAATCAAGTTGATACTTTGCAGATACTGGCCGTAGACCCCTGTCCTGTTTCCCCTCCCCAGTCACAGCCCTTGGGACCCCTCTGGCTTCTCCAGGCGGAAAGACCATCCCTTTGCCCAGCACCAGAGGTCCTGCCTTCCCTCCTCCATACCCAGGACCTCTAAAAACCTGTCTCCTCGTCTGTACAGTGGAGATAAAGGTAGCCCATTAAATGAGTTAAGATACAGGCAACACCTAGAACAGTGTCTAGTAGTTAGATGTGGTCAATAACTTAGAATTTGTTATGTGTGCCGTAGGGATGCAGCAATAGATATATTTTTTCCCTCAGGAATCGCATTGGTGGAGTCTATGGACAGTAAAGGAATAAGTTGGTGCGTGATGTAACATTAGGGAGTGGCAGGCCTTAAAAAAAATAAAGCAGGAGTTGTGGAGAGTGATAGGATGTGCTGTTTTACACAGGGTGGTCAAGGAAGGTGACTCAGAAGAGGTGACCTTTCAGCGGACTTGAAGGTAGAGGGAAAGCAAGCAAGGTGTAGGGGAGTGGTTCTGTCATGATGC